AAAAAAAAAAAAAAAAAAAAAAAGGAGTGGTGTTGGCTTTAAGTACTTATTGTCTTAAAATCCCCCCCCTGAAAATAGGCCTTCGTAATGATACAATCAGCTCTTCCAGTGAAGCTTGGGGTCATTAAGCAATGCAGCAAGACCTTTAGTGAAACCTGGCTCTGCAGAGGAAGGTGCAGAAGCGGGGACTCTGATTCTGTAGGCTGAAAAGCAAGAAAGAAGCATCCTCCTGGTGCAGGTGTTCACGAGCAGGAGAGCAGGAGAATCTCATTGCAGTTTGTTCCAGGTCCTCTCGGTTGTTTGCCTGGGCTGACCAAGAAATCTTCTAGTAGCAAAGCAGCACGTACTCCCCTTGTGCAAAGTTGGCTGCTCAGCGTCAAAATAATGTTTTCTGAAAGGAAAGCAGTGCATCTGCCCTTTTAATCGCCTCCAGCACCCTCATGTAGAGACAACAGAAGCCTTGGGACRTGAAAAGAACTGTCTTTTAAGGGACATTAGGGCAAATGTTACATTTTCTTTAACGTCTCTTAGAAACTTACCTTTTGCAATGCCTCTGCTCTTTCTTGCCCTTTTTCTCCTGCTGCCAGCTCCAAAATGTTGTGCCAAAGCATCTGAAGCAAAGCATCTTCTGGAAGCAGTGTCACTGGGAAGGCTCTGCAGTGTCTTTTCATGGGTTTTGTGTAACATGTTGCTTTTTAAGCATTGCTTGTGAGGATCCTGAACCGCTTTGCTACCTGTGATTGACTTTTCCAGTGGCGAGGAATGCGATCTTGGCCAAGTGCAAGGTCTGAGTAGTGAGGATAGATCTCCCTTACTCTCCTGCCAGCCCCAGCTGTTTGTGTTTATGTTGGCAAGCTGGCATCGCGGCTGGATTCACCTTTGGATGCTCATAAGGGCTTTGCTGAGCAGAGATCACAGGGTGTGGCCCATAATTAATCTTCCCATCCTCACGGAGACACGTGGGCCGCCCCCAAGCACTCGGAGCATTACAGCGTATTAGTGACTAGTGAATATATCCGCCTACCTTTCCTAATGGGAACTGCACGCCTCCAGGGAGCTGAGCCCCGAGAGACACAGAACAACTGAGCTGGCGAGCAGCATCCAGTCTCTGGCAACGCTGCTGCCTTTGTCCCACCACCATAGCTGCTTGAAATCTCCTGGTTTTTRTTTTGCTTCCTCTCCATCTGGGGAAGGAGCAGTTGTACCAGGTGGCACTTGCCAAGGCATGATGTTTACAGGCTCTAACATCCTCCTGCATAGCAAATATAGCCTGAGCCCTTCTGATGGGCACCCCTGATGTGCCTGGTGCACCCTCACAGCGTGGCTTTGCACACGCACAGGGTATATATAGAAGAAGGCACTGCAGGGAACAGGGGTGGATGCCAGGGCAGCCCTCATCTCCCCTTYGGTGCATGGGGAACTGCACGGAGCTAGACGGCCCCAATTGCAGCTTGACAAAAGATCTCCTCCCGGCCAGCTGAGATGTTTCACTCCTGCAGCATTGTGAGCACTGTGCGTTACGTTGTGTGGGTGGCAGAAGCCCAAATTCTGTCAAATTCTGACAAAATTCTGACAAAACAGGACCCACGTCACTTAGCCGCTGTGACAGGACGCCACTGCCATGCTGGATGTTGCTTCTTCAACACCCTAGCACGGTCTCTTCCTCCAATTCTGCACCTGAGAGACCAGGGAGGGCTAATCCAGAAACAATATCTTGACTCTGCTGTTTCCCTTCACCTTCATTCAGCCGGAGAGAGACCAAGAGCAAAAGGCTGGACGCTGCGGCTCTGGATTTCATGAATGGATGAATGCAGAACGGCAAGTGGGGATTTGGAGGGGATTTGGAAGCCTGCTCCAGGATTTGCCTGGCACGCAAAGCATTTATAATACTTCCAGCATTATGATAACATAATGCCAGCATGATTCAGGGCCCACCCCGACACTCAGTGAGACAAAAGCACAGCACTGGTCACCATCAGCAAGAGAAGGGTGCCACTTCCSACCCGCAGCCACCAGCTCCACGTGCCCTCCTTGCTCTGCAGTCCCTCCCTTGCCATGGGCACCCTGCAATCTGGGACTGGTGSAGGGTCCGGGAGGCGAGCGGTGCCATAGCCCTTAACAAGAAGCAGTAACCAGGTGATGAGGGCTGTTAACTGCTGTCCCCGACCTTAGCAAAGCTGTAAAAGCCACGGGGGCATCCAAGCAGGAGCGCTGCTCCTTGTCGAGCCCCCGCTGCGAACAGAGCAGCTCTGCAGGAGGAGTATTGTTAGAAACTGAGCCGTGGCACCTGGAACCTATTTTGGCTGGGGAATAACTTGATATTTCTCGTGAATAATAGATGCACACGGCGGTTGCTTAGAGGCAGCTCTCTGAGTGGGCTGGGTCTCTGAGAGAGGTACCTCCCTCGAATACCACCCTCGATACCACCCTCGAGAGGCTGCCAGCCCCACGTTTGTGGCCTCCACAAGATAGGAGAATTTCCTCCCCTCTCCATCCTCAGCTCTTGCAGTAAATGTAGGCATACTCCACCCAGGAGAGGCTGACTTGGGCTATGTGATGTGGGCCCGTGCGGACCTTCAAAGGGTTATACAGGTGGGTTGTGATCCACTTGAATGGATGGCAGCTGGTTATGGAGATTAGAGCTGCAGAAGTCACTAGTAATGAATAATTCTCGCAGTGTCTTGCCGGTAACAGTGGCACAGCCACAATGTGTGACTCTAACATATTCATTTTCAGTGTGTGCAGCTCCTGCAAGGCCCTGCTGCTTGGGTTTGGAAGTATTTGTTCTGTTCATCAGATGAGGAGTATTTCTGCTTCTTCTARTTTTTACCAGGGAAAATTTGCAAGCACAAAAATTGGAAGCACCRAAAAGACGGGGTGGTAGCTGAAAGGTACAGGTTGGTGTAGACAGCCAGGACAACTGTGTGTACCTGGAAGTGGCTACGTGCCATAAACCCGTGTTTTGCACTGCTGGGGCCCRTGTGTGTGCATGAATCCGGGCAGCACTGCTTCCTCTCTCTTCTCCATCACCTTTCCTGCTTTGGCGCATTACTGGTTGAGTCAAACAGTTTAGTAAGTTTGCCCTGTTTTTAAAGATTAGTCATCTACAGGACTGACATTTTCAAGCTTGACAGTTCCAATCAAATGACAAGGGCTGCTAATTCTTGCGCTCAAAGATCTCAGTTTAATTTTAAAAAGTAAAATCAACATGATTAATTAAGCGATGTACCTTGAGATACAGCCTGGGAAACATGCAGATGTAGTCCTTGTCAC